TTCACTTAAATTTTATCAATCCACACTGTTTTTCATCAAAAGAAGAATCTTATTATTCTTAAGTACTATGTTATTTCTTTACAGCCACTATTCTCATAAATGGTTACAGTTATTAACAATTACACAATTCAAAAAATGATCTATCAGCATTATGCATGAAGGTTTATGTTAAAATTAAGAAAATGTGTGCAAGATCAAAGATTTTAATAATAGGTCAACTATGTTGACTATCTTGAGATATTATATAAAATTATGAATATGCAAATGTGTGCTTCCTTATGAAGTTATAAATTTTATAGTTTCATCTAAAAAGTGAATTCACAAAATTGTGCTACCCACCCAGAACTACACAGATTATCTTAAAAGTTAAATAGATGAAGAAAAAACAAGCAGGAAATAAATATTCTTTTGAATGAATGTTCAAAAGGTATGGGAAGAATTTTGTGGGAGGGAAAAAGGTAAAGAAGGAGAAAATAAAATGTGGAAATAGAAAAACATGAGGAGGGAACCACTTATACTAACTATTCAATTTTGTTCCTGAAGCCACTCACTATGACAATGTTGTCAACCGGTTAGGAAAAATGATAGAATTTTAAAGCTTTCATTGAGGATAAAGGAAAACCCTGCGATTTTTTAAAAATATTTATCTTTAAAAAAGGTGAAGTTAGCTATTATAGTGTGTAAAAGAAATTACAGATTGTAAAATAGAAGTATATTTTAATAATTACTCACAATGACACTCAATCTTTTTAAACAAATCTATTGTACATAATGTGTTTCAAGTCACCAGTTGTTATTCAACTTTTTTCTGAAGTGGAAAGCCACACACATATCGTTTACACCCATAAGACTTTAATGTGGGATGTACAGACTCCAAGGACAGTTGATTCAACCCTATAGCTTCATACCATTTTTTTTTCTTCCCCAGAAAATGAAAAATGCTGGCTAAAATTAAAAAATTCCAGCACATTTCTTCATGAGTATTATTTTATTTTTGCAAGTATTCAGCTCTCTTGCTAGAGCCTTCAACAGGCAACATGTTAATATTATGTGAAAAGTCTACTTAAGTGTTCATTGGAATGATTTCAAAGTATCAGCCCCCCCAGTGGCACAGCAGTATGTCTACAGACTTGCAATGCTAGAAACCGGGTTTCAATATCCGTCATGGGCAGAGCACAGATAACCCCTTTTGTAGATTTGTGCTTAACTCCAAACAAACAAACAATCAGAGTATCACCTAGCAACAGTGAAATGTGTGATAATAGTAAAAAGGTAACTTCTAGAAAAAAAAAAAAAAACACAAGAAACACTTCCAACCAAAAAACATCATGTCGATGCATGTGCGCCGTGTAATTCTCTACTTCTGTCAGCTTATTTTCATTCAGACACGATTCAAAGGTCAATAAAAAAAATAATTAATAAATATAAATAGATGTATACTGTTAAGAGATTTAAGGTATTTGGAATAAAATTTTGGGTTTCATATTACAATTTGCAGTTATTATAGAACAAAAAAGTAATTTAGATTTATTGCTTAATTTTTATGATGGTTACAAGGTCAGTCAAATCAATCAACACCATATTGATAAAATAACAGATTAAATATAAAACTATTTAAAAAACATTTGATGATTATCTAGAAGTATATAGAAATTATGCAAATGAAACTTTAGTTTTCCTTATCTCAAATTTGTCTTTTTAATCTTAAAATCAAAATTACTTTGTATGTTTGATAGGCAACATTCTGAAGGAAAAAAATTCACGAGCAAATCTTTAATAAAACAAAATAATCTTAAAACATAATTCAAAAACCAGATATTTTGTGTATGAAATCCTTGTAATGTTTATTAATAATCTGCAAACTTTTGTAAAGACTTACCTACATTTTCAAAAAATTATAGTACAATTACTCTCATAGATACTTTCCTGGTTACGGGCTGGATGGAAGGGTTAATGTGACAGCATACAAAACAATGGGAAATTAATCATGCATGTACAAGAACAAAGAATAGCACAAGATCACACTGTCTCAAGTGTGTGTGTGTGTGTGTGTGTGTGTGTGTGTGTGTGTGTGTGTGTGTGTGTGTGTGCACGCACATATATACTTAAAATAAACAAATACAGAAAGTATTGAAATCCTTAAAATGAGTAAAGCTTATCTTACCTTACTCAAAATAGCATCCGTGAGTTCCACAAATGCTCTTTCTATGTTAACATTTGCTTTTGCACTGGTTTCTAGAAATCGTATTCCATGTTCTCTGGCAATCTGTAAAACAAACCAATTCAGGTAAATTAATTTGTAAGATAATGCAAGCTTTCTTAATAAAGTAGAAGTTCTAAAATGATAGTTATCATACTAAATCTAATAATAAACTTCAAAAAGATACATGTATACATCTGACTGAAATTAACAACAAAAGCCATTAAGCATTAAATGTTTTAGTATAGTTTTTTTTTAAAGAAAAATAAAAAACATTCTGTTCCAAAATAAACCCATGCCAACCAAATTCACTTGTCAAGGAAAAATATTAAACTAAAAAAATTAAGCTTTCACTATATTGAAATATATCACTGATGACAATTAATACTGTATTATTGTCACATTGTAAAATTATAGTAAAATCAAATACTATATATACAGATGTTGAATGAGTTATATTTAAAGCAATTTTGGAGCCTCACCACATCACTACGTTCATGTTGCCACGTCTGATCATGCTCTATCTGATGGCTATGCATCTTGAAATAGCCCTGCAGCGCAGTTAAAAGTCTCTGACATAATACTGTCATGTTAAAGCACACTATTACTCCTTGTTTGCTTTTCCTAGTCCAACTAGTGTACGAGGATAATGGCAACAGTTGCTCAGTGCTTGCTTCAACAAACCAATCACAGAAAAAAATCCATATGCACTGCATCTAGAGACTTGACCAGTATGTCTTTGTATGGAATAGTACACACCCCAATTTCATCTTCCAGCAGTTTGAGGTATGTGATGGATAAATGAATATATCATGGCAGCAAATTGTGTACACATCATTACTTGCATTACATTTCCAGATTGAGGTTGTTTAGTGTTTTATGTTTCAAAGAAACTAGGCTATCTGCACCAAACAACTGGTAAAAACCATAAAAATGAAATTCTATAAAATGTAAAAATAAATTGGGTTAAAAACTAAACAATGTCCAAGAGTCACATAAAAGATTCAAATAGAATTTAAAAGGCCAATGGCTCATAAAAAGTTAAAATCACAATAAAGTTGGACTGTGTCACCATCGCCAATGACACCATCCAATGTCAGGGGTAAACCATTAGAAAAGACGTGTCTAAAATGGTGCCGCTGCTCATGGTCGTAACAACGACATGACAGTAAAATATGGGCTATTGTGACTTGAGTGTTACAAAGACTACACATTGGTGGGTCAATACCAGATAAAAGAAATGATGAGTAAAAAACTGTGACCAATGGAAATAAGACAGCCAAAGAGCAACAGAAGGTTTGATCTGGAAAAGCTTGTTATGACGATGCTCACCCCAAGTCGACTGCCAACTGGCACGAAGCTCCACCTTGATTACAGGAACGTAGTCCATATATGGAACAAACACGACTGTAATGGCACCAGAGCAGATGGACTTAGCTGCGGGTGTCAGCGAGCTCATTCCCGCAAGTATCCACCTTCCTCGGATGACTCAAGGAAGGGTCACATCTGGGGATAGTAGTAAGCCACGGTGGAATGGGCTGGTCATTGGAAACAACGTCATCATCCAATGCCAGATAAATTCAGCCAGTTTCGCCTGGATACAAAGGCCAAAAGAAGGAATTGCAGACTCACTATTATAAAAGAGCATGGCCCACCAAGGAAAAAAAGAAAACCCAGGGTGGGTTGCTGTGGCAAAGATTGAAGCTTTGTAGCATACTGTAGAGAAAGTTGCAAAGGATAGAGATGAAGAGGTTTGTGTGACTCAGTGTACAAACTCTGGACTGGAGAAGTGCAGAAAACCCCCGTGCAGAGCCAAACCACCAGATGATGAATGGGTCGCAGGATCTTCAAGACCAAGGTCCTGGCAGAACCATAGACCAGAGACCCATAATCCAGTTTGGATCGAATGGGGTGGGGGGATGATAGATCTTGAGCACAGAACACAGATCCACTCCCCAGGAGGTGGAATAGAGGATGTTCAGTGCCGTTGTACACTCCACATGTAGCTGCTTTATGTGAGGAATGAAAGTAAGCTTAAGGTCAGAGATAAGCCCCAAGAACTTAGGGAACTTAGCCTCAGGGACCATGGGAAGAACAACATTACCAAGATGGAGCTATGGATCGGGGTGTAGACCCCATTGGTGGCATAAATGCATGCAAACGGTTTTGAAAAATGAAAAGGTAAAAGCAATTGCTGTGGTCCACTTCAACAAGTAACTGAGGGCAGTCTGAAGCTGCTGTTCAATACACCTCATGTTCGACAACTGACATGAGATATGGAAGTTATAAACATAGAACCCATTTGCAACTGTAGGAGAAAGTTGAGTAGTGATAGAACTGATCTTGATACTGAAAAGTGTGACACTCAAGACACACATCCTGAGGGACTCCAAGTTCTTGTATAAAAGAACAGGAAAGATGCGAACCCACACGGAATTGGATTCACCTGTCCAATTAAAAGTTATGAATAAAAATGGGTAAATGGCAACGCAACCCAGATGAGTGGAGGTCCCACAAAATGCCGTTCCTCCACGTAGTGTCGTAAGCCTTCTCAAGGTAAAAAAACATGGAAACAAGATGTTATCTTTTGAGGAAGGCTTTCCTGATTAATGTTTCAAGTCGAATTAGGCGATCCATGGCAGACTAGGTGCACGAAAATAAGTATAAAAACCAGAATTGAAGAGAAAAAGGTTGTGTTCTGAGAGCAATACACTCTACAGAACAACCTCTCTCATCAATATCAGCACCATCTCAGAGGGGATTGTGTTCATTAAAGTCTCCAAGGATTAAAAAGGGAGATGCCAACTGTTCAATTACAGCATCAAGGTCTGATTGATCATAAATCTCTCCAGGAGACAGGTAGAGAGAACAGACAGTGATGGTTACGACCCAAGGAAATACGGATGGCTATGGCCTCTAAGGGTGACACAGACAAGGTGAGCATGTGCTGTTCGACCAGCAGTGCCATCCCTCCATGCACTTTTCCCATCACACAACCTGTCATTCCAGTATAAAAAAACTGCTGAAACAGGACTGTATGAGCAGGTTTCAGGAACGTTTCCTGTAAGGAAAGACACATGGTCTTAAAGTCATCCAAATTAAAATGAAAACTTCGACAGTTCCACTGTATCAAAGTGTCCATTTTTACTTAGGTGGAGGAGAACTGGGCAGAGACCTCTTCTGTTTATGACCATGCCATGTTTCTTTACTAAAAGGAGGTCTATCAACCTCCATGGAACCTGCCCTTGGTCGAGTGGGCAGATCTCTGTCATTAGACTTAGATTCCAGCAACTGAGGGTGTGAACAAATAGTAGTTTTGTATCTCTGGACCCAAGTGGACACCAGAGGCTGGGGCCAAAAAAGGTGGACCCAGGCAGTCACTGGAAGGAATTGTGGGGACAGAGATAGAATTAGACATTGACTTGTCAACTGGGTTATCCATTAAGGGCAAAAGAACCTTCACATGACATGGAAAAGACTCTGACAGAGGCACGGAAAGTTCCGTCTGCACTCCCGCTGTAGCAGTGGAGCATAGTGCAATGGCATATGTCCAAGATGGAGTAAGGGACAATAACTTCCAAACCTCGTGGTAAGAAATGTGGTTAACAGTTTTTAAACACTGCACCTCTTTCTCCTCCACCCACATAGGGCAAGATCTAAAAGTAGTAGGAGTGAGAACTACTACAATTAACACAATGAGGGTCCAGTTTGCACTTATAGGCATTGTCGTCCTTGCCATCACAATGAGCACACGTCACAGAACCACGACAAGATGCCTTCAAATGACTGAACTGCTGACACTGGAAACATTTGAGAGGGTTGGAAATATATGGCTGCACCTTACAGTTCAGGTAACCTGCCTTGACAGCACCAGGTAGACGTGGCAATGTAAATGTCAAAATAAGAACACTGGTAGGCACATACTTCCTTCTTTACAGAGATACGTCGCACTGGAGAAACCAGCAAGGATTATTGACTTAGGGATGTTCTTCAAATCCCTCTCAACAATAACTCCTCGTGATAAATTCAAAGTATCACAGGGAGTAACCTCAATGGGTATATCCCCAATGGGCATCAAATTCAAGGAGTTCACCGTGTTTTGGTGTAGATGTTTCCACCAAGGTGTCTCCAGAATGCAGCTTCTTAACTGACTTTGGAGACCAGCAAACCCCTCAAATCCCTTTTGAATGAAAAAGGGAGACATCTGCCCTAAAGGTTTGTCTGACAAGAAATGCAAGATCATAAAATGAGGGGATGCACACAACCATGCCAAACAAGAACACTGCAGCAACACCAGGGTTTCATAAGCACTATACCCACTATACAGTTGGTGTGTTGCAGTGCCCCAGACGCCATTCTACCACCAGGATCCTCTCCTCAAGACTTATTGAGATCATTTCATAATGCAAGTCAATCAATGTCATGCATAAATTTTATTGTATTCACTCTTGATTTTCATACATAGTAATATATTCAACAGTTCTTAAACATAATTGTCCACAATTTATGCACTATTCTCAAAGGGCTCTTCTCACAAAATATGTGAAAAATAGGAACTTAATTATCATTATTATAATCATTACTTTACAGAGGTTCCTTAAGTGAAAGCTTCTGCCTGAGATAATAATACTTTATGCTTTTAGAAGCTCAGATTCAACCTTATTAAATACAGTAACCTTAAAGTAAGAATACTTAAGAGCATACTTACTGCATCACCACGTTCTTTACTTATCATCCTCTTGTCATCCATGTCACACTTGTTTCCAAGAATCATCTTTTCCACATCTTCATTTGCATGCTAAATTTTATCAGATACAGATTAGACCTGGTATGTCAGTAACAGAGCAGACTTAATAAAACTAAGTAATTATAAGAACTTAACAGTGAAAGCAAAGAAGACTTAAAATGTTCAATTATACAGACTAAAAAGACCCAACTTAATCATTTCTTCCTTTCAATAAAATCAATAGCTGCAGGCTTTCCAATAGTCCCCTAACAAAAAGTAGGGACTTTCGTACTTTAGACGGGCAAAGTTTTTCACAGAATAGGGCCTTTAGCAGGGAAAAGTAAGGATAATCGAGATTATGTAGGAAATTTATTGGGATGTTTTTATAGTGTTATCTTCTTTGTAATAGCCATTAAAACATTAATGCACCAAAATATACATACCTAATCTGATTTATAGAGCAGATTTTGTTGATTAGAACTATACTTTAGCTATTTCTTTGTTTTTATCTCCCAGTGCATGTTTAAACAGTTGCTGATTGCTACTATTATCACAAGCTACTGTCTTTTAAAAGATAATACAGAAACAGTAAAATTGGTCATTCAGCAATGGCTGACACCAACATGAAAACCCATTACCATTACTGTAAACAAAGGTTAACCACTGGTACTGAAATAGTGTTTTTCTAGGCAGCATTTCAGTTTTTTACATTACTCTGAAAACATAAAACCTGTTAAAGTGGCTGTCTTAAGAAACAATGCCATGGACACATAAATTACACAAGCAATACAACATCAAATTCATGTATGTTTGATTAGCACAGAATTAATAAAGCTATCGAGGTCTGGCTATTTCAGGACAGGACTAACAGATACATGCATTCTCACATACCAAAAATCAGTCAACTTGTAACTAAAGCTCATGTAAGCAGTAACCATGACAAGAAATGCAATTTAACAAAAGCATGTGCATACTTCAACTTGAAATCTCCAAATGTATTGAGCTAAATAATCATTTGATCATCCCCCAGTTATTCTTCACTAGGAAGGAGGTTAGGTTCACTCTAAGGTCACTTACCAGAAAGCAGAGAAGACAGTTTGCTTATCTCACAAAAGCAAGTATCTGTCTCCCATGCCACAAAGAAGCTATAATTAGTGAAAAACCATCCGTTTTTGAAATGACATGCTACCTTAAGTTAATAACAGAAGCAGTTAGACTATATTTTTTTGACATACTTAGTATTTCATGTTGAGCTAAACCAAAAATGTAGATTAAAAAGTAGGAAAAAAAAATAGGAATTTTGGCCTCAATATAAAGGAAAGTAGTGAGCCACAAAAAGTAGTAAACATTTAAGAAAGTAGTGCACACCGAGAGGCCTGTAACTGTAAACTCTGAATTTCTCCATAATACATTAATTATATTTGTTTTATCATTCATATTATGTTTAAGAAAAATAAATAGTTCAGTGACTGGAATAAACACTTTAAATAATGAGCTTATTTCCAGATTACCTTTTACAATTGTAATAATTAACTATTACTAATGTAATGTCCCATTCTTGCAGTTATCAATGGGAAACGAAGTTTAATATGAAAGTACTGTAGTAAAATTACTGTACTGTAAAGTACTGTAAAAATTATAAACTTCTTTTTCTAAAATTTCATAATAGTTGGCAAAACCACATTAGACAGTTATTATATTATATTGGAGATGCTGGAAGATTAACTTCCTTGTTATGGGCTTGGTCAGTTCAGCTGAGTTCATGACCCCAAATACTATAACTACTACTATGTTTTGTGTATCTTCATGAAATTTCAATAAACGTTATAAGTCTTTTGTAGACAAAAGAAATCAATTTTTAATCAACTAAATTTACAGAAATATCTCCATGAATATCTATAGTCAAAATGTTGACCATCTCCAAGAATAAAGTGATATCCATGTTAAGATTAGAAATACATTTCCTCATCTAAAAATTTTCAAATTTCATATGCATAATCTTTAAAATCTCCTAAATAAATTTCAAACGTTTTACTTCAGTAAAACTACTTTACATATTATTTTCTCCACCCTAATTCTATATGCATTCAGTCAACTTCACTGACCTCGTAACCAACTTAAAAAAATATCAAATAAATCTAAAGTTAAGTTTCCTATACTGAAAATATATTTCCAATAGGTACTTACTTACCTTCGCTCACATAAATATTTATTCTTGTTTAGTGCTGCCTTCTATATGCAAAATGTTTGGGGGGATGCCACAAGCCTTGAGCTCCCATGTACCTTACAATCAACTGGTTCAGATGCATCTCTCATGTAAATCATTATGCAACAACCCTCCACCAATAAGAGTGTGACACAACCTCCTGATGTGCGACTCCCTCTTTTCGATTCTACTGAACTATCACTTCAAGTTTTGGCATAAAATGGAAGCACTGGTTTTCAGTGGGGAGAAAGGATGGGAAGTGTGACAGGAGTTAAGTATCTATTGGAAATATATTTTCAGTATAGGAAAGTTATAACTTCCAATACAGTACATTACCTCCTCTCACATAAATAGCTAGAATCCCACACTGAATAGGTGGAGGGACCAGTGCAAGAGAGAAACAAAGCAGCTTTCCTCAAAATTGTCCAAAGAACAACCTAAAAGAATAGATCCTCACAGTAGAGGATCATACATGGGAGACTGCACCTCATTCTGTACCAGGTATACTCTCCACCCAGTGTGAAGTGAGGTGTCACAAACATGGGTGTAAAAAAGGAAGGAGCACATCCCAATGGGAGAGAACAATGGTGGGATATGGATCCGAACCACAATATAACAAATCTCAATCTCATAGAATAGTGGAATGTGGGTGAAAGGATGTGCCCCTGAGTGTAGAGTGGCTAGGACGTGATGGACCGTACACAGCAAGTAAACTGCATCCAAAACCTAGGCTGCTGGTAGGATGAGTACCATTGATAAGTCAACTACAATCCAAAACCCACCCATGTGGGGATAGGAAAGAGGATCATACAGTCTTCAGAATTTCGTCTGTCCCTGATCTATGAACGGGACACATGATAACAATGTGATAAATTGTTTGAACAATCTGGGAATCTGAAATCTGGATGATCAGTATAGTAAAGATGTCTTTGTAATGTAAATTATCTCACTCAAAAACCAATCCAACAGGCACCACCCATAGCACAATAACATCCTCTGTAAATAAAATCAGAGGAATAGTGTAAGAGGAAGAAATGTTTTAATTAGCAAGTACCACCACTGTGACCTACAACACAGATGGAGGAACAAGAGTATAACTGAGTGAGGAAACACACACACCTACAATACATGTGTGAGGACTTGTGTTGATTGGTTCAGCTCTAAATCCAAAACCCAGCCACTGGGGACCAACATCCATGTGGGTGTAGACTGAGGGATCCAAATCGAAGGAGTGAAGTGCAATTTTGATGGCTCATTCAAAAGCTAAAACATCCCCTCAGATAAACCTGTACAGAGATGGAGCAAAGACAGCATCTTGACCGACAAGATATTGGGATATGCAGGTAAGCATTTGTAACATCTACCTTAGTCATCCACAAACCCGGAGAAAAGGCCTAACTGAGGGTGAGAAAAAACTCCATGGTAGAATCAAAAATTGATCACAGGTCACCAGTCCACAATTTTCTTGGGTACCATAAACAGCCTGGAATAAAAACCTGGAGAAGGATGATTGACAGGTTCAATGGCCTGCTAGGAAAGAAAATCTTGTTCCACCTTGGAAAGAAGTTGACTAGTAGTAGGATCCCAAGGCAATGGAAAAGACACAGGTCATTAAGATAATGGAGGAGGGGAAAGAAAATGGATGACAAGTCCCTTGGATAATACCCGAATAACTCACATATTTGTGGTGAAAAGTCACCAAAGAGGAACAAAATCAGTCAAGTGAACCTCCATTGGAACAGAACCCAAAGGTAGTCACTGGTACTGTTGGCAAAATGTCTATCTTCGTCAAATAAAACAACGAGATGAGAAACCATTGGAGGTAGGAACAGGTAAGGGCTGGGAAGGAGATAGATGGGAAAAAGTGGCATGTTGATCCACCAAAGAAGAAAGGGTAGTTGGTTGTAGCATTGATTCTGCATGGGATTCCAAAATCTCAGGAATATTACTAAAAACATACCGCTGTAGAAAAGGGGCCAGACATAAGTCCCAGAGATAAATAAATGATAAACAAACTTGGGATCTCTATGGATTGCCTTGAAAAGGAGGTGGATGGTAGACAAGTACCATAGAAGAGTCAATAGGGTAAGACGAAGACAGGAAACTTGGGTGTGGGATAAACTAATAGGATGATCAGGGTCTGCCCCCACACAGACAAAAGCAATTCCAACTGATGGTAGGCCAAGGCAAATTGATCCAAAGCCCATGGAGGGCAGTGCATGCTAGCATCCTCAACCATTGGAGAAACAAAATGCTCAGCATGAGCCCCAATATCTGGGTAAGGAGAAAAACTAAATACTGAGAGGTGAACGTATCATGTAACAAAGAAGGACGGGGATCATACAAAAATCAAGGAAAAGGATAAAATAGAAAATACCTGAAAAATCATGTCTAAAAAAAATTTGTATTATGCCTAGCTGATTCCGCAGTAGGGACATAGGAAGACATGACAAAATTGGGTGGAGGAAAAAGGCTATCAAAATCCTTCATAACCCAAACAGGTTTGGCATGTTCAGGAAGAATTGGGACAGGATTAGGAAATGCAGGTTGACTCATATAACTATTAATCTCATGGCGGACAAGTCACCCCACCTGTAGCCTGTGTGAGTGGGCTAGTAGAAGGTATTATCTCCAAAATGGTAACCTGAACTTCGGAATTCGTTGTGTAAAAAATTAAAGTAAACAATTGTATGATGAAAGGGGAAAAAAAAAAGGAAAGAAACTGGGAAAATAAGTTATCTGAAAAGTTAACTATTGAAAAACAAAACAATCCACTTGGAATAATAACAAAAAAACATTATGGAGTTGAACCAATTTGAAGAGCACTAAAAAAAGTCAACACAAGTACTGCCAAACAACAAGTGATATTTCGGTAGAATCAAATAGAGGGAGTCACATGCGTTCGAAGTGTGTGTCACAATCTTATTGGTGGAGGGTTATCACATGATGATTTATATGCAAGGTGCATTTGAACCAATTAATTGTAAGGTACATGGCAGTTCAAGGCTTGTGGCTTGTGAAAAAAAATTTTGCATATAGAGGGCAGCAGTGAATGAGAATAGCTATTTATGTGAGGTAATGTATACTGTATTGGAATTACCCAGTTTTTCTAGAATGACTTCAAATTGTAACAGGAAACTACATTTCTTTATGCTTAAAGCTGATAACAGTACACATCTGTTTCTACTTAAATTATATTGTTTTATTGCCTTTTGAACCATGTCTAATTAATAATCCCACCACACAAGTTGTAAATCACATGGTGAATGTGTAGCTCACATTACCCTATCTAATTAAATAACACATAAGCTGTTCCCTAGTTTACCTCCTGAAGAATGTTTATTGCATTTTTTCTTTATCTTACCTAATCCAACCTTATATAACATAATAAGTTTCTAATTCTTACATATTAGTTACTTTTATAATAATAAATAACGAATACACATGAAAATCAAGAAATATAGTACTTACCTGGGTCTCCTTTTTTTTGCTGTGAAATGCCAATGAACCTTAACAATACTTTTTTAATACACTGATTTTTTATTTGATTAAATAATGAAACTAAGGCAGAATAATAACACATAAGAAGCAGACAATATCCTATAACTTTCATAATTTTTATGTCTTTCTAACTGTGCAAAAAAAGAGCCATTAAAAATTCAGTTAAGTTTGTTGATTTGCTTCCCTTGGGGATAAAGTTTGAAATGGAAGTGAAATAGATAATTCTCTATAAAAATAAGGTAATATAATACATCATTTAATATATTAAAACTTTGGCTTTCTATTGGTTATATATAATATAGTATTAAGTATCAGAGAGAACTATTGGCAATTTGTGAAAGAGAGGATGTGACAAATGAGCGTGGCAAGTAATATCTATATCATAATGAATAATTTATATTAAATTCCATACTTTTCAGAGGGGTGGTAAATAAATTAGAAAAGGGGGAATACCTAGAAAGCAAATGTCAATTTTCATACTAGGGGAGATTGAAGACATTTTTTTAATATTTCCTTATAAAATTAAGAACTTAAAATTTATACAATATCAAAATTTGATTTATTAACTACATTTGATGCCAAGTTTATTTGCATACCATGATAATAAAGTAGCTTAATTAAATTTTGAATGTAACTTTCTAAAATGTCAAAACATGTACACTTTGACCTAACTGTGATAAGAGGGTTAAAGCATTCACAATGTAAGTTTTAAAATTAAGAACTTCCTACTTCTTTTTTTAAAGTTACATTATGAATAGTAGTCACTATACTGTAATATACCTTAGGGCACATCCAGCCTGTTAATCAAGAATGTGTGTATATGAAGTAGGGCTGATTACCTATGAACATCAGTTACTTTGATTAGTGTCAGATAAAATAACCGATTAATCAAAAGTTCAATTAATGTCATGAAAATAATCAACTAATTATAATTAGTGTTTCCAGTTATTACTGTTTTTGAATATTACAAATATCTACATAATCAAAATATTACCATTATGATTTCTCAATATTATTTTTGATTAATTCAAGGTTGTTCAGCTTAATCAAGTGTGTAACAGCTAAGGAAAATAATCAACTAATGGAAGTTATAGTTTTGACTATTACTATTTGCAATCATTCCAGCTATCCAAATGTCTTGTGAAAATAATTGGTTAGCTAAATGTAAATGGTTAATGAGCTTGATGATTAATCAATTAGCAAATTTAACTACATGCCCAGCTATAATATTAAACAGATAATTATACAATACAGTTACAGTTTAAGTTATTATAATATAAGGTGTGGACATACACAATTTTTTTTATTTTATTTTTATTTATGGGTTCCTCCAAAAGATAGCTTTAGTTAAGAATTTAATATTTAAATAAAATATTAGTAGTTATGGATAAACAACACCTGTTTTAAAAATTATTTTAAATTCAAATAATTTTTAGTTATGAATTAAGGCCTATAGGGAATCAAACTCAACTTGTATATACATACAATGTTGGTGAAGCTTTTAAATGGAGATTCATTTTTTTAATTTCAGTTCTCAATCTCACATGAACTATAAATATACATAAATATGCAAATATATTTTATCCTTTGCTTCTACACATCAAATTATTAAAAACCTATGCAAAAGAGCTGGGTGATAAAATTGATTTACTGATTACCTATAAGCATTGATTACAGCGATTAGTGCCACGTAACATTATCAACTATTGATCCTGATCATTCCAACTGTCCAGTAAATGGAAGTTACTATTAAATCAATTTTTGTCAGGAATATATAATTGAATAATCAAAATGAGTGTTTCTGATTATTCCTGTTTTTGTTGATTGCAACTATTCAGTAATCAAAATTTTAGCATTATGATTTTTCATTATTATTTTCAATCAAATATAATTTGTTCAGTTTGTGTCATAACTTACAAAATAATCAACTAATCAAAATTAAGGTTTCAGATTAAAACTTTTGATTATTCTAAATATGTAAGATCAAAATGTTGCCATTATATATTTGTTAATTGTTAAGCACAAAGCTACACAATGAGCTATCTGTGCAATGCCCATCATGAGTATAGAAACCTAATTTTTAATAAGTTTGGTTTTTAGCCATCTTCTGTGAATATTTGAGTAGTTGAATGTAATTGATTAATCAGCCCAAAGATGAATCACTTAAATTCCATTAATCATACAGCCTACTATATGATGGTTCTTGCTCCAATTCTGCATACAAGTTTTCTAATGAAAAACAAAATTATATATATACATAAACACAGAAATTTTGTTCATCATTTTCTCTAAAATAATATTTTATAACCATTAGTCAGGATGACTCACTCACCTCATCAATATTTCTTAGCCATTTTGCTATATTATCAAAACTTTTTGGATTTGAAATATCATAAACTAACATGATACCCATAGCCCCTCTGTAATAAGATGTAGTAATTGTGTGAAACCTTTCTTGACCAGCAGTATCCCTGAAATGAAAAAAAATAAAAATTAAATCAAGAATACCTACAGAAATATTTAACAAAAAATTAAAGGTTGATATATAAAAATAAGAAAACACTTTGAACAGCTTACAGAAGAAAAAAAATAAATTGTATAGAATGAAGAAAGAATAAAACAAGTATTTGAGAGAAAGATATATGCATCTTCTTCCCTTGTTAACTTTCAAAGCTTAGTAATTCACATGAGTACAGAATTTAAAAGTGTAGGATCAAACTCAAAGAATTACACACTGAAAAATGAAATGAAATTAAACACTGCTTTAGCTTTCTATATTTTCATTAAAGATGCTGTATTCTACCAAGTTTTACACATACACAATGCTTTATACATGGTTTTGTCTAAAATCACGAATTTAGTTGCAGGCCTGAGAATTGTCTTGGAACATTTCAATTTTGAAATAGATCAAACTGTGGCAACCTTAACTCAACTTTGAATACTTCTACACTTATATACATTCTATTAGAATTTAATTTTCTATGTACAAAGTTACATAGTAAAGACTGATTGGTTAATTATTTTTAATAAAATTTGATTTCTAAAAAAATTGCTTATATATATGTAATATCTAATATATGAGAAACTATTCTTTGTACAAATATAGATCACAATAACTCTTATGTACAAAAAAATATGCAATACAAATGAAAAAAATGTATTTTATTTTAATTTAAAATAAAAAAAATTTTAATGCTAAAATAATGAGAATCATGAATATCCATATAAAGTAAATGTATATGAAATGACTTTGGTATAAAGAAGTAATAACGAAAGTAAAATAAAACATAATATCAATATTCTGTCTAAATGTGTAATTAAAGAGTACTCCTTTTACACATTAATTATCAATGTCAAGGTTTACACTAGGCATTAATTTAATGTATTACCAATATAAATTAATGTAGCTTTTCACCAGTTTCACCCTTCAAACCTCTTACCAGAAAAAGATTTAAAGCAGCATATCACTACAAATTATCTTCTTTCATTCACATTTTTAATAGAAGTTTTTTGTAATTTCTTGAAATTAATTTTGCATTAAAAGGTAAATACTTATTTTCAACACTATTTCTGACCATATTGAAATGATTTGGAGTTAAAATAGGTTTGCGACCTTACACAATAAGTATTGGCAGCCCAAAATACAAACGTTTCTTATTTTTTAAGTAACAATTTGCATTGCATAAATTTTATGATTTATCATTCAATGAAGCATATTTCTATTTGAACTGAATTAGCATGTCTTGCTGGTTAGTTTTTAACACCTTGATAATATGTGACTACGCCATAGCAATGTTATGGATTCATGGCCATTTGTTCTTAAAAAGATTAAAATAAAGGTTAATGACCACAAATGATCACCTGAATCTTTGTCCAAATCTTGTTATTATAAACATAACACATAATATTTCTAACATGGATATATCAGATACAAACACAGGCACCTGGATCTATTATTACAGTTACACAATGCAAATCATAGTTATTAAATCATTAAATTAAATTTGGTGCTTTGTTACTCCCAGAACAGTAATAGATTCTATATCGTGGTAACCTGGCAAGAATAATAAAACTGTACACATGTCCGTTAGTTTTATGAAACTTTCCAGTCCTTATTTTCAACTTTCATTAATTTCTTATAAGATTTATGTAAATACTGTAAAGAAATTGAAGTTGCGAAACTTTGTCATTTGAAGCCATGATGTGCAAATGGTAAAAATAATTATCAAGTATTTACTTCCATATCATTACATTATGGATTTAAAACAGTATATTCCTCTATGTTGTAACATTAAAGGTATTTTTGAAACATGCCTGAAGCCATTTTTGGATTTGCAGTGTAACTAATTAATGTGAAAGTATGAATATAAAATTTAAGTTATAAAAACCAATTAAAATGCATGTAATATAGTGCACTTTGTCTCATTCTGTGGTTTGAATTCATACTATAAGCTTATACCGGGAAAGTGTGAATTTATTAAACAAACAGCATAAAACTAATAAAATGCATGTAACAAACTGCATTCACTTTGTCTCTTATGATAAACTATTGATGCAACAAAGTTTGTTTGTATTTTTACTGCAAAACGTTATGTCATGAACAGAAATGAAAACAAATATTCTGACAAAATTCTATTTTTTATATTGGAACAAATATTACTAGATTTTATGACAAATGCTTTAAATAAGACAAAACAATCTGAAACATTATTTACACACTAAAAAAATAAGTACCCATTATAAAAAAAAAAAAAATGAACTGCAAATCTGGGAGAGACTATCTAAATGAAGTCATTTAAATATTCATTTTTATTACCAATAGTATATGGTGATTAGTATAACTCTCCATCTGCTACTTGCTTTAAATTCTAATGATCTTACTATAATGGAGCAATGTATATATCTATCTGTATGTGACCAAAATAATAAATACAATGGTGCCATCTGTTATGATGAAACATAAGATCTCAATGCCAGAAATGGTGATCGAGTCTTATGAAATGTGGCGCCATCTATTGAATAGAACCACACAAAATAATCCATAAAACAAATTTCACACTTTTGGTATTCAAGATTCAGACAAGTTGAAAAAAAAAGCTATGGTATGTGCGACAACCATTTCTTTAAAACATAAAGTTAAAAGTATTCTCCTCACAACAAGAACACGACCATCACTAGGAGTGTACATTAGGGTTTGATTATATCTTTATTGATATAATTTCTAAATGTAGTACTAAAAAGTGGAGTTCTTAAAAAAAACAATCATTATTTTTTCAATAAAGGGTAGTATTTCTAATAGATAAAAGCATTACAGTTTATGTCAGTAAAATTTATGACAATTTTCGGCTTTGTCTATTGAATCATTTTGATGCAATGAGTAGTGTATGATTAAAGGGCACAATCCAGTCACTTTTCTCATGCAGTTCTTCCCTGAAAGAAACACTTTTTTAGAGAATGTTCACTTTTTTTTGGAACTTGAAACTACATTTCTTCTAAGGGAAAAATTAAAAAAAAATATTGGTACAGTATTCCACACCTATTTTATAATTAAAAGCTATTCAATGGAAAACATTTAGATACTCTTTGACTCAAAAACAACTTCATATTAGTGTTAAGCAACCAAAAACAAGTACTGATTCTAATTTTTATTTACTACACAGGACATGCATACCATCAGTCAAAAATTCATATTGCAGTCACAATATTAATAATTGCTCATTAAATAAACATTTCTTGTTACATACATCATCCAAACAATTATATGTTTTAAAATGAAGCCTTACATAACAGTTTGTGTTCACACTAATTTTATTAAAACTACTTCAAATAATCAAGGTGCTTTATAACTTAAAACTTTTGAAAATACTTACCATGTTCTGTTTTTTGCCTTAAAACTGCAGATAAACTTTATTTCAACAAATACCAGCACTGCATACACTACTTCACAAATAGCAAAAAAGAAAAATCACACCAAAGAGAAAGGTTAGAAGAATATTGTGGCTATGTTCCCAATATACAAAATGCACATTTATTCTTTGAATATCAGGTGGCTGCCATAGTAAGTTGTGGAATCAGGATGGTATAATGGAATACATTTAATTGGAAAATGTATTTACTAGTACAGGAGCTTTGACAATATTTTTGTTACTTAAAGTAATCTAGAATGGAACTCTTAGCTAAAAATAATACATTAAGTTTAATTACAAACATTATTACTAATGTATTTCTATATAGCAATATGAAACCAAAAGCCAATCTTGCAGATCTTATATGTAATTTAATTATAGTGCGAGATCAAAATATTAAAAATTTGTTGAAACTCCAAGTAGTTGCTTGTTTTACTTATGTTTAAGACCAGCACTGTTAGCTGGTTTACACGTTATACCACCAGAAGTTGAAAACCATAGTGCTAAATCTAACTGGAAATACTAGTAGCCTCAAGCACTCTATAATGAATTAGTAGAATTCTGTGTACATAGTAAACTGTACAAGTAGATTTAATGAGGTGGTTTGGTGCCATTAGTGAATAGTTTCTTTTATGATGCCAAAGTATAATCTTATTACTGTTGTATAGATTTTACTTGTCTTTTAATTTTTAAACTTTTTTGCATGATCGCATCCTCAATACGATAATTGTTTTATTAATTCAAAAGAGCATTACGAGCATGTGATACATCAACCAGTAACAATATGGGTTGGCATTTCAGCTTAATTGATATATTACAACAAATCAAGTTAATATAGTAGGATGTACAATGTTATAAATCAGTGGAGAAATACCTTCAAAAAGGTAAATCATACATTGTACTTTACTCTTAATTGCAACTAAATAAAGAAATTTCAAAGGCCATTTATTTTTTTATACATCAAATGCAAACCATGGAAATGATGCTAGACAATTCAGACAACTTAAAATGGCATATCCGGAATTGGGTGATTTACTTGATTAATCAACACTAGCCATGACCTGCAAAATATTTGCAGTAGTTTTCATGCCCTTCACTTGAATTTTCCTTATTCTATCATTTTCATACATGCTATGCTTTCTTGCAGGCATGATGTGTTAAATTGGTCTATTTGAAAATATTTTACGCAGTCAAACCCACGTAGATGTAACTTTATTTAATAAAATCACATGTAAAGTAAACAATAGTGTATACTAATGGTATTTATAATAGTGTACACAGTATGAAATAGTTATGGCTGTTCAGTTATGATACACTTTTAAGAGTTGAAACAAGAAACTCACAAAAACAAAGGATAAAACCTGTATTAAAGAAAAAAGCAGCTAAATGGTATTTATAGCAGTCTATAAAACAAAAAGAAACTAAATTATTGCGAAGTAAACTTAAAGATTTAATGAAGGCAAACTTAGCTGAGTATGAAGAAGTGTCTGAAAGCATGTTCACAAAGTGATAACGTTTTGAGCAACTGCACATGCATATTTTAGACCTGAATAGGTTGAGAAGGC